ATGTGCGACAACGGGAAAGTTATTGCAATATAAACCTAATTTATACAAATGAGAAAAACCACAAATAGCAATAATATAGTATGGCAAGGAAAAACGCATAAAAAGTACTATATTATACAGTAAAATTGACATCAAGGTTAACGTATATGGGTTATCGAAATTGATCGATTCCAAATAACAATAAAGTTGTTGCTGATTTAATTAAGAAAAAAAAACTAATCATGAATTAATCCATTTCAATAGAAAATATCGGATACTTGCAAAGCATCTGTATTAGAGAAAAGGCATTTACCAATTTTGTATAAATGGTAAACCGTAGATCCATGACATAGATTAAAAAATGTAAAAAAAAATGCCTTAATAAAATTCTTAATCCTTATTGATATACATATAGCCACAACAAAATCGAAACTAAGGTTTTCGAAACTACAATAAACACATTGGTTTTAATCGACAAATTGCAAAAGCAAATAATCAAATTGATTTTTAATGATCCAACATGACAAGATGATGATACTAATTGTTAGAAATAAAATACAATAAATATGATAATAAACCATGATCAAATCATGTCAAATCATCAAAAATAAAAATACTAGATGCGGAAGCGTACCTAAATTAATTGATAGATTTAAATCCATGAATTTTTCTTTGATTGTGATATTCCAAGAAGATGGAGTTCCCTTAAGTATAAACTCTATGACAAGGATAAGAGTAAATACGATATTATCTATTTTTTTAAGGACCATAACGCCTTTATATGATTGATTTAATAACCAATTATTGTATGCACTTATAACTCTGTCCTCGTCAAATTATAAATACAGCTTTAATAGTATCTACACTTTTATTTCCATGACACTTCTAATACTTCAATACTTTATAACATAATAGGTCACTTAATTTATTTATATTTTATAATAACAATATACATTATAAATATGTGTTCAATTTTATGGATGTTGATCTAACAATATATAACAAGCACTCAAAATAAAAAAAGAAAATTGATTTATTTTTTACCTGTTATTTTATGTGTATCTTATTATTTTATAACAAGTATTAAAAACTTAGAATTATAATAAAAAGCAAAAGAAAAAAGTATATTAGTATAATTATGCACAAAAAATAATCATCTTGAAATAACTCTATTATTTCACGACATTATTAGGCAAGCAATTTTTTTTTTGAAACTGGAAACACCAACCTTTTATTGGAAATAAACATGTCATTTGGGTAATAAACAACTCAAACCTACCTAAGGAAATAAGTGCAAAACAGTTGTGAGCCCTAAAACCATTAAAGTAAAAGAAACAGGAAAGTAAAAGAAAAAACCAGTGTAACAATTTCAGAGAAAAGGTCGGCCATTCAACTACCTTGCAACCCGAGAGAAAAAACTTTAATGCGAACCGTGGCAAGGGAAACGGAAACCAGAAAGTAGAACCTGAGAATCAAAAACTGAAAAAACCAAGCAGTAGCTACGGGGGGTCGATCCAACGCCGGTCCTCAGCTGCCTGAGCTTCTACACTACGCGGGGCCTTTTCAATCCAATAGTAATCGGTGGTCCCCATTGTCGTTTCTTCCACCAGGATGTGCGCCGCTAAATTTTCACTCCGATAAACAAATCGGAATGAACATTTCCCAAAAGCAGTAGCCCGTTGTTTCGCCTCCCACGACAGTGTACTAATCTCTGAAAAATTAGGCTCCGAAGTTATCAGCTTTCCGACTACCGTCTTGGAATCGCCTTCAACTATTATCTCCTGAAGACCCAAGTCTGCTGCAATCGAAAGTACATGAACAGAAGCTAGAGCCTCAGCCAGAAAAATTGAGGAAACCTGTGGAACCCATCTCCCACATGCACCCAGTATGAGACCCATGTTATCTCTGATGATTACTCTTGACCATGCTTGTTGTTGTGCATGTATGAATCTGGAGTCAAAATTAACCTTGACTAACGGGGAAATTGGGGCTGTCCACCGCACAAGAGGAGCAGCTATAGCACCCCTGAGTTTTGCATTTGCATGAAGAAAAACTCGATTTTGTGTGCGAATTAAGGTAACAATTTCCTCCTTTAAAATCTTGCCCTGATGATACTGTAGATTCCGCGTGTACCATAGTGCCCAAATTGTCACCAAAATCTCTGGGTGTGTTTGAGTTGGATTATTACAAAACATCCAATTTAGTCAATCCGCAAAATCAGAAAATGTACCTGGCATATCCCAATTCAAACTTGATTCATTCCAAACAACTAGTGCTATAGTACAATCTTTGACTGCGTGAATACCAGTTTCTATGTTGGCTTGACAACGTTGGCAAGTAGGGTCGTTTATGAGTCGTCTCGTGAATAAAACTTGTAAAGATGGTATGAAGTTATTTATGAATCGCCAAACCTGCAGCTTGATTTTGCGTTGACATGCACAAACCCACATTCTTTGAAAAACGGTTATCCACGTTTGCGAAACATTTCTATCTTCAAGCAACAAACGGTACCCATTGCAAACACTATACTCACATGTCTTATCACCATACCACACCTGACAATCATCATGCTTAAATCGGGACAAAAGGATGCCCAAGATGATTTTTGCCTCCTCTTCATCGAACAGATATAGTATTAGGTCTTCTTTTCAAGACATCGATTCCTCATCTATTAAATCAACTACCTTTTCGACCAAATGATTTTGGGAGGTGTTAATAAGTATGGTTTGATCCTTGGCAACCAAAAATCATTCTAGATGGAGATCAAAGTGCCTGTACCAACCTTCCATCGAAAACCCATCACAAGAAGCCCCTTGGCACTCCATATACTTCGCCATATGTAGGAAGGAGAAGTGCCAAGCCTAGAAGACAAGAAATCACCTGCTTGAAAGTACTTTGCCTTTAGGACTCTGCCTACTAAAGAAGTTGGATTTATCACCAATCTCCACCCCCTGTTTAGCCAATAAGGCAATGTTGAATTTGCCCATTTCCCGAAATCCAATACCCCCACTTTCTTTCAGTTGACATAAGCCTTTTCATTGACACCAATGAATGCCTCTTTTGCTTACAGATTTCTTCCACCAAAATCAAGCCATTATATTCTCCAACTCAATACAAAGGCTTATTGAGAGCAAAAATAACTCATAGTAAAAAGATGAATCGCCTGGAGAATTAACTTTATAAAGACCTCTTTACCTCCTTGAGAAAGAGCCCGAAAACTCCAACTCTGAATGTGACTGGTAAGTTTATCTCATACATAAGCAAACGCCTCTTTCTTCCTCCTCCCCACTATTGCTGGTAGACCTAAATACTTCTCCGGGTTTGAGGTGTTAGATACCCCCATAATACGTTGAACATCAGTACGATTTTTATCAATGACATTCGTGCTGAAAAATCCCATATATTTCAAAATTTATTACTTGACCCGAACCATCCTTGTAAATTCGTAAAATCTCTATAATCTAAGCTGCAACACTAGCTTTAGCCTCACCAAAGATAAGGTTGTCATCTGCGAAAAGTAAATGTGAAATCATTTTGAGCATATCTATTTATCTGAACTCCATCGGACGAAAAACTTTCACTACAAATTAGGAATAAATATGGGCTTAGTGAGTCACCCTGTCGGAGTTTCCGTTGCGGAACAAAATTGGTCCCAATCAAACCATTAACTATAACTGAATAAGAGATAGTTGAAATAGATCTTGTCAATATAGAGATCCAAGTACTCGAAAAACCTAGCTTCCGCATAATTTCCCAAACAAAATTCCACTGCACCCTATCATAGGCCTTACTCATATCTAGCTTCAAAGAAAAATATCCTCTCCTTCCTACACACTTGTTCATGAAAGTGTGCAATAATTCGTAAGCAGTAATAATGTTGTCGGATATTAGTCTTCCCGGTACAAAAGCGCTCTGAGCCTCATCAATGCAAACATGGAGAAGGTGTTGCATCCTATTAACCAACATCTTGAAAAGATCTTGTATAGAACATTACATAAACTGATTGGTCGGAATTGGGATAACTTACTTGGAGCAGCTACTTTCAGAATAAGAACAATGTGAGTGACGTTGACTTGGTTCATGTCAAAATCCACATGGATGAGCCCAATACAATAATTCGCCACCTCCTGATGCAGGGGGATCCGAGACAGATGATGCTGAGCTGTCAGATTGCACGTTGATGGCGCTGAGATACCATGAGTTGGCAGATCAGCGCAAAGGCGGGAATTGATTGTGACATGTTCCTCATTGGGGTCGTTTTGAGTATGTTTCAGTCTTTTGGCCATAACTTTGGCTACAGGTGTCAGAATCGCGCATAAGACCCCAATCCGGAAAGCTCTTTTCGACGCGCACGCTCTCCACACTGAGCTACGCTCCATGTGGCCTTTTTTTCAACCTCAAATTCTGCCGTTTTCCCCTCCGAATCACTAGATTTAGTTATTTTTTACTATTTATGGTAATATTTCGATTGTTAATTAGGAAGTCAATTTAAATCCGATTTAGGCCGGATTTTTGGGAGATTGCTTATTTTATTTCGAATTTTAATTTAGAGTGATTTTCGGGATTTTGCTATTTTTGGTAAAATTCTAATAAAGACGATTTTTGGCTATAACAGTCCGGCTTGTGGACTGCTTTTTGGCATTATTGATTTTATAATATTTTATTAAACCCTAGAGACTTTTTTTTTCTCTGGTTTTGGGCGAATTTTCTCTTGTGAATCGTCTGTCGGAGCTAGCCTACAGGATAATCACTATTCTGTCTGGCGTCACCTCCCTTCCGATTAGATGTCAGAATCTCTGATAGAATAAGGCGCCTAGTCCATCCGCCCCTGCTGCTTTCAAAGGACACATAGATTTTACCGCCTGTGTCACCTCTTCAAATGAAAACGATTATTGAAGATCCTTGTTCATCTGGATGGTAATTCGAGGTTTGATGCCTCTCAAGATTCGATCATCAATGGGACCAGAGGCTGAAGTAAATAATATCTCGAAGTAACGCCTAGCGACCTCTTCCATACCCATTTATGTTGTAGTGTGTGAACCATCCTCCATATCCAATGAAACAATACAATTCATGGGACACCTTGTCAAAGCAAACCAATGAAAGAAAGTCGTGTTATTATCCCCATTTTTTAACCAATTGACATGGGCCCTCTGCTCCCAATACAACCCAGTCTTGTCCATCTCGAGATTAAGTTGTAGTTTCGTGTCCACTATCTTTTCGAGCACCTCATCAGTCGGTTGAAGTTCAACGTGTGTTGTTAACTTGCTTTGTAGTTCAGCGCTCGATAGACGATTAATCTGACAGATGTTCTTGAACCGCTTATCTAGTCCATTACTGACATGATTCAGTTTCTCTAGCACTGTTCCATTCGTTTCAGTCCATAATCTATTTACCTCGTCCTCACATGATGCCTCCATTAACCAGGAGGCCTCAAAACGAAAGTGCCAACGCCTAATAGCCTTTTTGTGAAATGTTGTATCCAATAAAAGGGGGCAGTGATCATAGAATGTGTGAGACAGATGTTGAAGTAAATAGTGTGGAAACATGTCCTTCCACGGATTATTTGTCAACCCTCTATCAAGTCTTTCCCTGATACTTATTTTTACCCTTCTTCCCCTTTTCCAGGTATACCATGAACCAGTTGTTGAATATTCAAGAGCCAACATTGATGAAAATTAGTAGCAGTCGGCGGCTAAATTTGGTCCATGGTGGGATGCCTAATTTTGCTAAAAAATGGTCAGCAATTGTTGAAATGTAATATGGTTAATTACACTTTAGTCATTGCATTTTAGAGTATTTTCAAAGATTAGTCCTTAAGCTTCAACTATAAATACCCTAGCCCATTTAGCTTCAAAATCATCCCAAAATCCCAAATCATTTCTTTCTCCCAATACTAGAGAGCTTTCTTGTGAGTAGTGAGTGTTTTGTAAACACCTATAAATTTTCTCTCTTAGTAAAAGATCTGCAGCAGTCCGGAGATGTAAGCATAATTGGCTGAACTCCGTTATCAATTTCGGGTATTATTTTTCGCTTTTATTTCGCATTCTCACTAATCTGGTTATAGGGAAATTACTCGTACTCAGTTTATTTTCCAACAACTGGTAATCAGAGCTTTTGGTTGTGAATAATGAATTTTATGAATAGTAAAAATTTTGTCGGCGATACGAGTTTGTCGACAGAAGTGTTATAATACACGGCGGTTCGCAGAAATTGTTAGAAACGATCCAAAGAAGCCATATTCGAGTAGGAGCGATGGCTGTAGACAAAGGGAATGTGAAAATTGAGAAGTCCGATGGTGCAAACTTTGGCTTTTGGAAGATGCAGATTGAGGATTTTCTGTAACAGAAAAATCTATATCAACCTCTCTCAGGAAAGCAACCATAGGGCATGAAGAATGAAGATTGGGCTCTTCTCGACAGACAAGCCCTCAGAGTTATTCGACTGAAGTTATCCCGCAATGTTGCTTTTAACATAGCAAAAGAAAAGACCACAGCGGGTCTTATGGCGGCTCTCTCCAGTATGTATGAGAAGTCATCGGCCTCAAACAAAGTTCACTTGATGAGGCGATTATTCAATTTGTGGATGGAAAAAGGGGCATCAGTGGCTCAACACCTAAATAGAGTTCAGTGGAAATTGAATTCGATGATAAAGTTTGAGATTTAATTCTCTTATCATCTCTATCAGATAGTTGGAATGCTACGTTACAGCAGTCAGCAGCTCGTCGGGAAATAGCAAATTAAAATTTGATGATGTTCGAGATCTGGTATTGAGTGAAAAAATTCGATAGAGAGAATCGGGTGAAGCATCAAGCTCCTCAGCCTTGCACACGGAGTCTAGAGGGAGAACTTCAGAAAGAAATTAAAATCGTGGCAGATTGAAATCCAGAAGGGGAAAATCAAGAACGTGAAAGAAAGATTTTACATGTTATAATTGTGGCAAGAAGGGTCACTTTAAAAGAGATTGTCGAGCACTGAAGAAAGATACCGGCGTACAGGAATCTGCCAACATGACAGAGGAGACAGGTGATGCCATGATTCTAAGCGTCAACAGTCCGATTGAATCATGGATCTTGGATTCAAGGGCATCTTTCCACTCCACCCCATGCCAAGAAATCATGGAGAACTATGTCAGTGGTGATTTTGGGAATGTTCATCTAGCTGATGATGAAACATTGAAGATCGTCAGAAAATGATACATCCAACTAAAGTTGCCAAACTAGACCACCTGAAAGCTGAAAAGTGTGAGACATATTCTAGGCCTCAAAAGAAATTTGATTTTTGTTGGACAACTTGATGGAGAAAGATATATTACAACCTTCTCAGGCAGTGAATGGAAGATTACCAAATGAGCACTCATCATTGCTCGTGGTAAAAAGACTGGTACTCCCTATGTAACCTCAAACTTAGAGAATATCATTATTGCAGCAGATGCTGATGGAAAATCAAACCTATGGCACCAAAGGCTTGGTCATATGAGCGAGAAAGGGATGAATACACTTTTGTCAAAAGGGAAGCTGTCGGATCTAAAGAATGTAGATGTCGGACTATGTGAAGATTGCGTCTTTGACAAACAAAAGAAATTCAGTTTTGCAAAGATTGGCAAGACACCCAAGGCAGAAAAGTTAGAGTTGGTTCATACTGATGTATGGGACCATCTCCAGTTCCATCTCTTGTAGGCTCACTATATTATGTTATCTTCATCGATTATTCTACAAGGAATGTGTGGGTTTATTTTCTGAAGAAGAAATCAGAAGTCTTTGATACATTCAGAAAATGGAAGGTCAATGTGGAAAATGAGACTGGTTTGAAAGTCAAGCGGTTGAGGTCTGACAATGGAGGAGAGTACAGAAACAGTAGATTCAGAGATTTCTGCGCAAACAATAAGATCAAGATGGATACAACAGTTCCCATGACACCGTAGCAGAACGACGTAGCAGAACGACGTAGCAGAGCGCATGAACAGAACTCTGAATGAACGTGCCAGAAGCATGAGGATATATGCCAGATTGCCCAAATTGCTATGGGCTGAAGCTATCAACGCTGCAGCTTACCTGATCCACCGCGGGCCCTCAGTACCCTTGGATGGTGGAATACCAGAGGAAGCTTGGAGCAAAAAAGAAATAAACATTTCACACTTAAGAGTGTTTGGTTGTATTTCTTATGTACACATAAATTCTGCTGAAAGAAGTAAACTTGACGCCAAGTCTAACAAATGTGTCTTTGTTGGTTATGGTGGTGATGAGTTCGGTTACCAGTTTTGGGACTACGAAAATCGAAAGATCATCATAAGAAGAGATGTCATTTTCAATAAGAATGTGATGTACAAAGACAAGTCAACTGTAGAATCAAGTAGCTCCAATACCGAAGCTGAAACAAAGGAATTTGCTGAGTTCGAAGAGATTTATGGAAATGATGTTCAGATCAATCCTGAAGCAGTTTAAGAAGAATCAGGCACACCGAAACTAAGACGCTCCTCCAGAATTCCTAAACCAACTCAGCATTATTCGCCTTCTTTGTACTACTTGTTACTGACTGACAATGGTGAACAAGAGTGCTATGATGAAGCAATGCAAGTGGAGGATTCAGCCAAGTGGGAGTCTTCAATGAAAGATGAGATGGACTCGCTTATGCCAAATCAGACGTGGGAATTAGCTGAATTACCACCAGGCAAGAAAGCGCTCCATAACAAGCGGATTTACAGGATCAATGAAGAGCACGATGGGAGCAAATGCTATAAAGCAAGATTGGTTGTCAAAGGTTTTCAGCAAAAAAAGGTATTGACTACAATGAAATTTTCTCTCCAGTCGTAAAATTGTCTACTATTAGACTGGTGTTGAAAATTGTAGCTGCAGAGAATCTACATTTTGAGCAGTTAGATGTGAAGACATCTTTTCTTCATGGTGATTTGGAGGAAGAAATCTATATGAGGCAGCCAGAAGGCTTCATAGAAGCAGACAAGAAAAACCTGGTATGCAAGTTGAAGAAGAGCTTGTATGGTTTAAAACAAACACCAAGACAGTGGTACAAGAAGTTCGATAGTTTCATGAGTAGCAGTGGTTTTACCAGATGCCAAGCAGATCATTGTTGCTACATCAAGAAGTTCGACAACAACTTAATTATTTTATTATTGTACGTTGATGACATGCTCGTTGTAGGTTCAGACATGCAAGAGATTATAAACTTAAAGCAAAAATTGTCGACGCAGTTTGCAATGAAAGATCTGGGCGCTGTAAAGAAGATTCTTGGGATGAGGATCAAGAGAGACACAAAGTCGGGGACTTTGATGTTATCACAGTCTGAGTACATCAACAAAGTACTTTTCAGGTTCAACATGCAAGATGCTAAACCAGTAAGTACACCTTTAGGTGTTTATTTTAGACTCTCCAAAGAACATTCACCAAAGACGGAGGAAGAACGTACACACATGGTGAAGGTGTCGTATGCCTCAGCAATTGGAAGTCTCATGTATGTCATGGTTTGTACCAGACCAGATATTGCTCATGCAGTGGGAGCTGTTAGCAGGTACATGAATAATCCGGGCAAGGTACACTTGGAAGCAGTCAAATGGATCCTCAGATATTTGCGGGGTACCACAAACAAAACATTTTATTTCAAAGGTGGAGATACGATACTGACAGGCTATGTAGATGCTGACTTAGTCGGAAATGTTGATATCAGAAGGAGCACTACAATGTATGACTATACTCTAGGAGGTACTGCAGTGAGTTGGGTTTCTCAACTACAGAAGATAGTTGCTCTCTCCACAACTGAAGCAGAATATGTCGTTGTTACGGAAGCCAGCAAGGAGATGGTTTGGCTCCAAAGTTTCTTGAAAGAGTTAGGCAAGAAACAAGAAATCAATGTCTTGTATTGCGATAGTCAAAGTGTTATCCATCTAGCAAATAATCCGTCTTTTCATTCCAGGACGAAGCACATACAATTGAGATATCATTTTATCCGGTCTCTTCTGGAAAATAGGATTTTGAAACTTGAAAAGATTAGTGGAGCTCAAAATCCGGCAGACATGTTGACAAAGACGTTGACTACGAACAAACTGAAGTTGTGTTCAGCTTCAGTTGGCATGCTAGAATAACAATACCAGAAATGTTCCTACATCGATCGAGGTGTGAAGAAAGATTAAAATCAGTCTTCAAGTGGGAGATTGTTGAATATTCAAGAGCCAGCATTGTTGAAAATTAGTAGCAGCCTGCAGCTAAATTTGGTCCATGGTGGGCTGCCTAATTTTGCTGAAAAATGGGCAGTAATTGTTGAAATGTAATAGGGTTAATTATACTTTAATCATTGCACTTTAGGGTATTTTCAAAGATTAGTCCTTAAGCTTCAACTATAAATACCCTAGCACATTTAGCTTCAAAATCATCCCAAAATCCCAAATCATTTCTTTCTCCCAATACTAGAGAGCTTTCTTGTGAGTAGTGAGTGTTTTGTAAACACCTGTAAATTTTCTCTCTTAGTAAAATATCTGCAGCAGTCCGGAGACGTAGACATAATTGGCTGAACTCCGTTTTCAATTTCGGGTATTATTTTTCCGCTTTTATTTTGCATTCTGGTTATAGAGAAATTACTCGTACTCGGTTTATTTCCCAACACCAGTAAAACCCATATCAACTAGAAGACAATCATCCACCACATCACGAAATGCGCTCGTTTGTCACTCACTTATGAGAAGTCCTCCTTTCTCAAAAGAGAACATTATTTCATTTAGGTCACCAATCACAACCTAAGGGATTTTAGGTGTGTCATTTAACCGAAGTAAAAGCCCCCAAGACTCTGGCCTCCGACTCTCTTCTGGTGCACTATAGAAACCAGTACATCTCCAGGAAAAACCATCAGAATCAGCAGTAAACATCACATCTATATGTGAGTCTGAAAACGATCGTAAGACCACATCATAATTTGTCCGCCAAGCTAGCCAAATCCCGCTCCTCTGCCATGAGGTTCAACTTCTATACCATGCAGAAACCCACTAGACTTGCGAATTCACTCCATTCGTGAGCTTTGAAGTTTGGTCTCCATGAAGAAAACCACAGAGGTATTTATGTCTCGCAGCATATGCCGCCGCCGACGAACTAAATATGATAATGTTAATTTTGGTAATAAATTATTATTGCCTTAAGGGAATGATAACAAACTAAATATGATAATACGATTTTAAAAAATACTTTTTTATATCTTTTCACAGACAAAATGACCCTTCAAAGTTAGCGTGTAACCTATAAATGGTTTCACCCGTATCAAAATCTACATGCAACGATGTTGAATAACCAAATTTTTTTTGAATAATTTTTTTTGAAAGGTAATGCAAATGTCATTTAAATGTTAATGGCATTGAGAATTACATCATTTTTAATATAATTTGATTCATCGTAATAAAATAAAAAATGATTGATCCTCGACAAGGTCCATTGTGTGAGTGTGTATGTCACCCTATTCGCCTCTCGCTCACATATTGTGCCATAAGGCAGTAAGGTCCCATTAACAAAGTTTGAGCCTCGTTGAGCATCAATCCAATTACAAAATTGTTTTTTTTGTGTGCATTTTCTGGTCGATTAATGACTACTACTCGGGCATTTCCTTCGATGATTGTATGATGCCATCCATTTTCAGTTGCCATACGCAATCTCTCAATTAAAGTAATCGCTTTAGTCGATTCAGACGATTGTAGATCATCCAATTTCCTTGCAACACTTGCCACCACAATTCTGTACTAATTTCTAACAATTATACTAATTGCTGCTTCATCGGTGCTAAGTAAGGGTCCGTTTGTTTCACGTAAAATGTTTTTCGAAAAATGTTTTCCTCATTTTCCAGTGTTTGGTTAGAGGAAAATTAGTTGGTCAATGTAAAACATTTTTCTAGTCAACAGAATTTCCTTTGTGTTTTCTGGAAAATAACTTACAGTTTGATTTTCCGTAAGTCATTTTACGAACTTTTCACTTCAAAGAATAAATACTCTAAATAATTTTATTTTATGAATTTAATATTAATAAAATATTTTAATATCATTTTAATCAAAATAGTAATTATTAAAATATTTAAAATATATTTATTAATATTTCTTATAATATAATATTATATTTTTAATATTATAATTAAATAATCAATTATATTGTAATAATATAAGATATTATATTTTTATTATAATAATATATAATAAATTATTAATTAAATTTATATTATTTATTAATTTCATAGAAATAATATTATTAAAATATTAATAATGAATAATATTATTAAAATATTAATAATGAATAATATTATTTATATATTTAATAATATTATAATAATATAATAATATTTTAATAAAGATATTAAAAATATACTAAATAATATTTTTAAAATATAACACTATTACTTTAATAAATAATTAATATAATTTATAATATTTTTATTTCAATAAAATATACTAATATTAATATTTTTATTAATAAAATTAAAAAAATAATATTTTAATAATAAATAAATTATTTTAATATTTTAAAAATAATAATATTAAGTTTTATGATAAATAATAATATTTATTGTATTTAATATTTGCAATAAATAATTTTAAAAAAATTCATTAACTAGTGGAAAAAGGGTTTAAACAACATCTTCCAAACATCATAAATCGTTTTTCAGAAAATGTTTTTCAAAAAATTTAATTCATTTTATGAAAAATATTTTCAGTGAAACAAACGGACCTAAACCCCATTCACATTAATTTTAAGTGCATTTATACATGGTTATAAATATTAAGGTTATCGAATATCGTACTATTATTTGTTTCATTTATAATGATGTATATTAATAGTTATGAGCATATTAATTTAGGTTTTATTGCATTTTAATTTAATTTCTTATTTTTTTAAAAATAAAATATATTTCAATACATACATACATAGAAATATATTTATATTCATCCATACAATTTTAAAATTATTAATTAAATTAAAAATTGAATTCAATGATTATATATGTAGTTAAAGATCGACATGAATCGATTTTATGGTCAACTCAGTCATACATAAATAATATACATCATCCACTTGAAATTTAGCATGACTCGAATTTAGAGCAACTTTACCCGACTTAAAACTTAACTCATTTTTTGAGATAAAACATAAACTTGACTCGACCCAAATATAGATCTAATTAAAAATATTAATTTTATTCGATAAAATATGAATCTAATTAAAAAATAATAAATATGGATATTATTGTAATTTTCTCTAAATATATAAGGTATGAATAACATTACATTATCTTTTTTTGCTAGAGTTGACTATTTTCTACCCTAGACTCGAATTCTACCTGACCTAAACTTATCATTTAAAAAACTCAACCAGACTAGAATCTAATTTTTTTTAAAACCAACAATCGGTAAAAAATATTAAATTTAATTGAATAAAAAAACTTTTATGACTACAATCTAAGTTAAATATCAATTTTTCACTTATGTATTAATTAATTAATTTGATATAATAATTAAATGTTGTTTACCCTTAAGTCCTAGGTTCAATGCCCTTTAAACTCACATTTTCCTTAAATTTTTAAAATTATTTACAATTAAATGTATAATATCAAAATTAGCCATAATAATTAAATGTTGTTTACCCTTAAGGCTTAGGTTCAATGCCTTTTAAACTCGTATTTTCCTTAAATTTTCAAAATTATTTAAAATTAAAGGTATAATGTTAAAATTAGCCACCAATTTTTATTAAAATGATTATTTTGACCTCTATTTTTTGAGTATTTTATCCTTCAACATTTTATTTTGGGGCGAAGGTCCTTCTATAGATGTAATTCATTAGTTAACACATGATCAACGCTGTAAAATATATATCTTTTTTACTCTAAAATGAAAAATTGAAGGACAAAATGCTCCAGGAAAAAAGAGTCAAAGGGACTATTTTGTAAAATATTAAGGCCTTTTAATCCTAAAATAAAATGTTAGGATCAAAATACAAAAAAAAAGTCAAAATGACTATTTTAATAATTTAATTGTCAAAATTATTTACTCAGCGGTCATATTAAAATTAATACTATAATTTAGTAACCAATAGGAGAGTTTAAACTTTTATTTAAACCAGCAATTGATCAGTTTGAGGCCTTAAACCAGAAGCCCAAAACAACTCCGAGAAGACTACGACAGAAATCACCTCTACAAAAAGTACACTTTTGTCAGAGTCGAGGGCGCAGTTAAGTTGTGTTAAACTAGGAGTAACTGAAGTAAAACGAAAACAATGGAAGGAAATGGATTGGAGGAGATGGGTCAAATGCCCTAGGGAAGTGCTTGAGTGGGTTGGTGGACGATGGTAGCACCGAGAGTCATCGGTACTACCTGTCTCGGAGAACCGTGCTGGAGATGCTCAGGGACAGAGGCTATGCCGTAATCGAACTTTCTCTTCAGGAATTTCGTAACATTCTTGGCCAAACCCCTGATTTTGATTCTCTCAGACTCTCTGTTGCTCATAAAAGCGACCCTTCCGAGCGGGTAATCCTTTTCCCTTTCTGCTTTATGTTTTGGTCGCTGGTTTTGTATACATAGCATGCTTAAATCAGTATCCACTCATTGCATATTCCTTCAAATTGTTTAATATACTTTTCCTCACTTAAAGTTTAAGTTCTGATGATATCATTTTTAACCCTATCGTCTTTGTGTTCTGGGAAAATATAGAACAATGCTTTTGATTTGGTCCTTATCAGAATGTTTGGTTTTCGCAATTAACATGTTAAACAATCACATGTTGATTAGATAGCAGGTAGGCTTACTTAACAACAGTGTTTCTTGCAAACACTTCTCTAGTGGTGACAGTGCTTCCTGGCACTAGCACTTTTTCTGTTTGGTATAAGACCGGGAGCCACTTTGGGCCGCGACTAATCCTAGCGCTAGCATTACATTCTTCAAATGCTCTGCTCCTCTAGCATTTTGCTTCTCTAATGCCCCATGCCTCTCACTCTGTAGCATCTGATAAAGATGATCTGCAATGTAGCTAACAAGGCCTATAACTACCTGAAAACTCTGGTGTTACTTTTAGAAGATTGGCAGGATTCTTGATTTTACTCCATTATGGTATTTGGGTGTCTTGAGGGCTTCAAATCGCAGTTGCGGTTGCATTTTTGGTCATTTCGTGTTTACCGCGATTGTGGCCATAGCGGCCATTATTGCGACCGTAGCGGGCGCTATTGCAGGTGTAGCGGGTATATCGGAAGGCAGCGCTATCGCGGTCGCGGACCGATATTTGAAACCCTGGTCTTGAGGAGTATGACTTTAAGATTCATATATGAAAATTATTAAAAATCTTCTTAACCTTTTCATAGAACACAAATGATTCCCATTTCTGTTGAACAAAAAATGCATTCTTAAGTGTGCTGTCATTTAACCATTATTTGTTTCTTATAAAAACACTTCTTAGTTTGTGCCCCACGTGGTTTCGATTTCATACAATTACATTTTCTAATACTTATCCATTTCGTACAATTACATTTGGTAATACTTTCCATTTCATACAATTACATTTGTTAACCTCCATCCTTTTTTCACTACCTACAAACATGGATGACACCGTGATAACTTCACTCTTCCTCTTTCCTTAGTGAGACTATAAATAAAAGTCCAAATGATTCATTTTGGATGTTTTCTCAGTCTGGCAAACTTTGGTTCTATTTCCTTCTGCAATTTTAGGATTAGTCTAGCACGGTCAACCCACAAGTTTTTGGTACTTCTATTATGGTTGTTCATGCAACCAGTAAACAAGGCTTGGAAATTAGGGAAGAGCTTTGAATTTTAGTGAAGCTGATAACGATTTGATTTTACTTAATTTGATTACAAGTTGTCTTATCCTTCTTTTATAGTTGTTAAACCATTTGAAAATCTATACTTGGCTGAAATTCAAACATATGCGTGACATGACAAGTGGTGCTTTTGCATGTGTTATGAAGTTTATGGAAAGTCTTGGAGTAGTTTATTTTGGTAATGTTTTGAAGTCATAAATTTCAAATCTATCCTTGAAAAATAAATACGAGTAAATCTAATTTGTTCATGATTTTGGAGTCTTGGAGTCAAATGCGCAAGCTGTTCTTTTGTAATATAACTTCTTCACTCAAGAGAAAATTACTTTTATTGATTTATTAGTGGAATTTTAAAAGTCAAAGATGTGATGGATTGTTTAAACATTTCAGATGTACAAAAACAACTAATCATGAGAAGGTTTTGGTTAAGGTGTGCGTCCAGGAAATGTTTGACAAATTGTTGATATATTTCCAAAATTTATCATTACCTTCTTTTTCTCTTTCATGAAGGCTGCAAGGAGGATCAACACTATTTTTATATACGAAGTGAAATGATTACTTTAACTTGATAGAAGGTGCTTTATTTGCTTCGCTTGTGGAGAGATCATTTAATAAACCTTAGCGTAGCAATGATGATATAATTTCTTCACCTTTGCTTTGATGCTCTATAGAAAGAAGTTTTTGTACTCCAGCCACTAGACGTGATCAACTTCTGTAATACTATAGTTGAAATAGACTGGGTTATTGTAGCTAGAATAATTGGCTTTAATCCACCATGTGCTATGTTAATAGTTATGTCTTTTACATCCACATATCAGTAATATTTTTTTTCTCTCATTTAATGACAATATCAACATCTTGCAGAATTTATTGAGTTTATTCCATTTAAAGTATTTGTTGGAGTTTTGATGTTAACAAATTTGAGCAGGTCAAAACGTAATTTAGATTTAGTGATAATGAAGCTGAAGTATAAAACACTACGTGCTATTTCTTTTTTAAAAAACATTGTTGAAGCATTCATTTTGTAATTTATGTACTAAATACCAATTTTTCTATTCTAATTCTTGAGAAGTGATTCTTTATTCTTTAATCAATGTGATATGCAATATGATGAATGACACTTTTGTAAGTAGTGTTTAAGTTAAACTCTTCATCCTAATTTATCTTTAAAAGTACTTCTTAATTTGTAGAAAAGATGACTCCTATTTTATCTAGTTCTCTAATCCATGTGTATAAAAAACCTATGTACCCACTTGTGTAAGATGCAATTTTCCTTTGAATAAGAGAATTTTAATTCTTTCACTACCGGAAAAATCTAGTTCTTTACATGGTATCAATCGCCGGCGTCGATCCCAACCTTGCTGCCTCTGCCATTTGTCATCCCTCCGATCAGTAGTAGTGTTCTTTCAGCACATTGTCGTCCTCCCAATCGTGAATATCCGATCACACCGTTGTACCTATCACAACACCAAATCCCTCGCAGTGCTGTTTTCCTTCGCAAGCGCCGTCCCTTGCTGCACCACCGTAGCGTTTCTCCATCGAATCGTCGCACCCTTCGAAGCGCCGTCCTCATTGTAGCGTTATTCTCCTTGCATCGCAACACAGCCCCGTCGCAGAATCGTTTCCTTGTTGCGCAAACACAGCGCTGCTCTTTTCCCAGTATCGTTCTCCTCACAGTGCCGCTTCTGTCGCACCACTGCTCTCCTCGCTGTACTGCTCTCATCACGCCACTGGTCCAACGTTACCCTCAACACACCGACAAACCTTCAATTCCTCTTCTCGACAATTATGGCGTATCCTTCATCGAATCTCCATCCGAGGCTGAAAACTCCATTATCCAGCCGTCTCCTTTTGACTCGGTTGCCTCGTCAATTACTTGTCATCGTCTCAATGGTGAGAATTACATTGCTTGGTCTCAATCCGAGCGTTTGTCCATCACCAGTCGCCGAAAACAACAATATCTCTCTGATAATATGTCGGTCACTGATCCCTCTGATCCCCAATACGACACTTGGCTCACCGAGAACACCACAATCATGTCGTGGCTCCTCAACTTTATGCTGCCTGACATTAGCGCGAACTTCATGCTCTACACCACCGCCTTGGAAATCTGGAACGCTGCCAAGGAAACATACTCCAATCAGGAAAACTCGTCTGCCCTATTTGCCATTGAATGCCGGATCATTGAATACCGAATCAATGACTTGAAGCAGGGCGATCTTACTGTTACGGAATACTTTACTCAACTATCTCGTTTATGGCAGCAAATTGATCTGTTCGAAACTCTCGCTTGGCAAACCAGTGCAGATGCCAAACTCTACAAAGGGCTGCTTGAAAAACGACGTATTTTTCAATTCCTGTCGGGGCTGTCCATCTCTCTCGATGATGTTCGTGCTCGGATTCTGGGCATCAAGCCTCTTCTATCTCTTTGCGAGGTGTTCTATGAAGTCCGCCGTAAAGAAAGTCGCCGCTCTATGATGCTTCCGCCATCCGTTGAAAGTTTTGCCTTGAATACCCATTCCTCCGGTGACACATGTGTCAAGAAAAGTTGTCCCTGGTGCGATCATTGCCGGAAACCTGATCATGTTTGTGATAAATGCTGGAAACTACATGGTGGTCCGACCAACTGTACTCCATCAAAATCCTCCTCGATTCCATCCCACGGTAACTCTGCTGTAACAACATTGGAAGATGGTTCATTTTCTTGTCAATAGATGAACGATCTACAACAGATGTTTGGTCATTTACAGATTCCTCCTGCTACTAAGCCCAAGTCTGCCTGCACTCTTAGCGAAGGTAGTTTTCCTTTTGCCTCCTTATCCCCTTCACCCGGATGTGTCTCTTGGATTGTTGATTCCGGAGCAAGTGATCATATAACATGTAACTTTAGTTTATTTTCAACATTTCACAAAAATGGTATCTCATGCAGTGTTCGTACTGTTGATGGCTCCCTATCACCTGTTAAGGGTAGTGGCTCGGTTCGCATTAATAGCCACATTATTCTGTCTAATGTTCTATTTGTTCCAAGTTTGAGTTACAATTTTCTTTCGATTAGCAAATTATCTACTGATTTGGGTTGTACTTCTCATTTCACTCATGATCATTGTGAATTTCAGGATTTGATCTGAGGGATGGTGATTGGCAATGCTAGGTGTCGTGGTGGACTCTACATCCTTGACACTCCTCCTTATATTCTCGTTTCAAACCACTCACCCGCACCATTTATCTCTTTGTTTCAGTTTCTCCTACAGATATGGCTGCCGACATTGTGTTATGGCATTTTAGGTTAGGTCACCCAAGTTTTCTTTATTTTGCAAAATTGTTTCCCAAATTATTTATTAATAAAACTCCCAATTCATTTTCTTGTGACATTTGTTCTCTTGCAAAATACATTTGGAGCTCTAATCCTCATTCTCCATGTCGCTCGCCTAAACGTTTTTCCTTAATTCATAGTAACATCAGAGGACCTTCACAGGTTACAGGTTTACAAGGAATTCATTGGTTTATTACCTTTATTGATGACCACTCTCGTACCACTTGGACCTGTCTTATGAAGGACAAATCTGAGTCTTCTATCATCTTCAAACGCTTCCACAAAATGGTTGAAACATAATTCCAAAGTTTCATTGGCATTCTGAAATCTGATAATGGTGGTGAATACTTCTCTCAAGTGTTGGGATATTTCTTTTAGAAAAACGGAATAGTCCACCTCACTTCCTATGTCGACACTCCACAATAAAATGGGGTCGTCAAACGTAAAACTGTCATCTTCTTGAGGTAACCCGACCATTTCTTTTTTCTTCTAATGTTCTGAAATACCTTTGGGGTGAGGCTCTTTTAACAACTACTTTTCTAATCAATCGTTTGCCTAGTAAAATTCTTGCCTTAAGTGTCTACAGGATATCCTTTCCACTAAATTCCCTCATTTCAAACCTTTAACCTCTTTTGTTCCTCTTCGTGTCTTTGGTTGTAATGCCTTTGTCCATGACCACAATCCTCATAAATCTAAACTTGATCTTCGGGCAATTCAACGTGTCTTTGTTGGTTATTCATCCCATCAGAAAGGTTATCGTTGCTATTGTCCTTCTGCAAAACGATTCTTCACATTTATGGATGTCACTTTTGAAGAGCATAAACTGTTCTTTTCAAAAACTGAAATCCATGAGGAGAGAGTCTGAATTTCAATTTTTACCGATTATTACTAAGTTACCCATTAGTCTATCTTCTACTGAAAAAACTATCACTCCACAATCTTTTAACACAACCATATCTTATAATGAAAACCAATCCACTAATCCCATCGACTCTCATAAAATACACAGGCCATCTACCAATATTTTCATCTACAAAAGATGACCCAAACAAGTCCTACCTTCCACACCGCAGCCAATGCATTGTCAGGAGCCAGAACCGGGTTTAAATCCATCGACAGACGAAGGAGATGGTGACCAAAGTAAGTTGGATGTGATAATTGATACTAGTGAGTTACCAATTGCTCAAAGAAAGGGAGTTATACGATGTACAACTCATCCTATTAGTAAATTTGTTGCTTATGGGAAACTAATGTTTGGTCTTAAAACTTTCTTAGCTCAGGTTGATCATATTCACATTCCAAAAATCATAGAGGAGGCATTAAAAAGTCCTGAGTAGAAGAAGGCAGTTGAAGAAAAAATTTCAGCTTTAGAAAACAACAAAACCTGGGTCAACGTTGATCTACCTAAAGACAAGAAACCAGTAGGCTGCAAATGGGTCTTTACTGTGAAATTCATGGCAGATGAAAAAGTTGAGAGATATAATGCTAGATTTGTGGCAAAAAGGTTCACTTAGACTTATGGAGTTGACTATCAGGAAACCTTTGCTCCAGTTGCAAAACTCAACACTGTTCGAGTTCTATTATCCTTGGAGGTAAACAAGGATTGGATACTTCACCAACTAGACGTGAAAAATGCATTTCTCAATGGCAATCTTGAAGAAAATGTCTATATGCAAGTTCCACCAGGAATTCATTATGGAAATAGCTGAGTATGTAAATTACTGAAATCCTTATATGGTCTAAAACAATCACCTCGAGCTTGGTTTGATATATTCACTTAGGTAATATTACAAGACAACTACAAACAGTGTCAATCCGATCACGCACTGTTTGTAAAAACTGCTCCTGATAAGAAGAAGTCAATATTGATTCTCTACGTTGATGATATCTTCATCACAGGTGATTGACTTAGTTGAAATCTAAAAGTTGAATGCTTTACTAGCAAAGGAATTTGAAACCAAAGATTTGGGAACTCTAGGATATTTTCTAGGCATGGAGGTAGCGAGATCGCGAGAAGGAATTGTCATAAATCAAAGAAAGTATATTCTAGACTTACTTTCTGTTAGCATTGTGAGTCAATACATGAATGATTCGAGAGAAGAACATTTGGAGGCAGTCAATCTAATCTTAAGATATCTAAAGATGACACCAGGACATGAGTTGATTTTCAGAAAACATGAAGACAAAATGATACGATCCAAACTAGCTCCAATTTTCTCCATGACTTAATCACACCATGGATGTTATTCAAAGCTGGTTCTAAGAGAGTTCTTCCTTACTTTATCCTTTATTATCTTCTATATGCATCATTTAATGTTATAAGCACGCTTTCGCTCTTAAACTATGCTTGAATAATCATATGTTATCATTCACTTGCATACTATATGATTTTCATGCATAACATATGTTTCCACATCTTTACTTAGTTTTATATTATGTTTTACATATGTTTTAGATTCATTTATTATGTTTGCATATCATTTACATATCATGGCAACATGTATTCATTCATTCATTAACTCATGTCATGTTATTCTAACTCATGCTATGTTTACATTAGCTCACTAACTTTAAATCTATGTTTCTTTAGCTCATTTTGCATGTATGCATCTATTTTCTAGCTCATATATTCTTTCTTATAGGTCATGAACGTCCTATGCCTTTTATCTAGCTTATATACATGTTATCTTAGTTTTTTAGACGATCATTCATAGCTCATATCACTCAAACACCTCACTACAACATGCATTTTACCTTAAATGAGCTCACACATTGCTTACTTTATTTGTTTGTTGATTCCTATAGGTGAAACACAAAGCAATGCATATTATGGTAGCTTGGCTAGCTAAAAGGACAAGCATAACAACTCACACTAGCTCATGAATGTTATGGCAACTCATTTCATCACTTAAAGAGCTTCAACTTAGCTGAAGGAGCTAGCATGTAGCTGAACTTAACTGGATGAGAGCTTTGGACCAAATAACTGAAAAGTGGACTAAAGGTAGTTGGAAGTAGCTGGGAGAGTAGCTGAGGAGCTGAGAATACCAAAGCTAACTAGTTTGAGTTCATCAAGCTCTAGCTCACATAGTTAGCTACCAAGAAACTGACCTAGCTTTCCTTGAAGCTAGTTCATCTCTAGGCTGCCCAAGGACTTCAAGACATCATCCTATGGTTGCAACCTCACCAAAGCATTGCAAGAAGACCCATGTACATTCAAGTAGGCTGCCATGTGCATCATTCAATCATGTGCACTCCATGTGACATGAAATAGGCGCTAAAACACCAAGAGATGCTTCCTATTCGGCCTAAGACTCATTCCTCTTGATTTTGGCGCCAAGTAACTTCCAAGTGCATTCAAAACATCCTTAGGGCCGAACCAACACCTTACCATTCGGCCAAAAGCATGTATTTTCATTAAAATCATGTATTTTCATTAAAAAAATCATGTATTTTCAAAGGGGTTTCAACTTTAGCCGAACCATCATGTATCTATTTCGACCTAAACCCTTTGAAAACTATAAATAGGCTATTGCATTTCATTTGTAAACACAGCCCTTTGAATATAAAACTCTTTGTGAGAATTCTCTCTTGCAAGTTCTTTAAGAACTTTATCGATTAAGTAAACTTTTTTAAGTTTGTGGCGTCAATCCTTTCCTTTGATACTTTGAGTTCCTAGTTTCCATAACTAGAGGGTTCAAGTCCTATCCTACCACCCCTTACTTAAGTTTATAAAGAACGGGGTTAAGCTTTCTATAGTTTTTCTTCTTCTTTAACTTATTTAAGATACTATCTTCATCCTTTCCATCTTCCATCACTTACACGCCTACACCACCACCATAGAAACATCCTTTATTCATCATCAAGGCAAACGTCCATTATCATCATTGAAGGCCGAATCATCTTTCATTTGAAGGATATTGCTACATCACTTCCACATCATACTATGATAACATCTCTATTCCTTTATTTCTTTATCAATTCATTTCTTTCAATTGTTTCTTATTTCATTTAATCATTTCTTTCTATAATTTGTGCAGATTACTTATAATTCAAGTGTGGCATTTGATGTCTCTCCTAGATAAAGAAATAACGAGGTTGTCATCTTCTCCATCATTGAAGAAGCTTGGATAGCCTTACATCACAAAACAGTAAAACTCTTCTCAGATTCAAGCTGGGCTGGAGAATTAACAGATAAAAGGTCAACCACAGGATATTGCTCATTTGTATGGGAAACCTAGTAACATGGAGGAGCAAGAAACAATCAGTAGTCTCTAGGAGCAATGCAGAAGCAGAATATAGGACGATAGCACTCGAGATGTATAGGAATTTGGCTACAAAGACTCTTAACCGAACTAGAGATGTGCGACAACAACTATTTTGAACTTCAAAGTAACATCAAATATGCGATAAGTATTGCAAAGAATCCGGTGCACCACGACAAAACAAAACATGTGGAGATTGACAGACACTTTATTATAGAAAAAGTAAATGGCGGAACTGTGAAACTAAACTACGTCTCTTCACAAAACCAGCTAGTCGATGTATTGACCAAGACACTTCCAAGGATTTCCTTTGACGAAATTACATCCAAGTTGGGTCTTCACAATATTTACTCCCCAGCTTGAGGGTAGAGTGTAAGTAATGTTTAAGTTAAACTCTTCATCCTAATTTATCTCTAAAACTACTTAATTTGTAGAAAAGTTGACTCCTATTTTATCTAGGTCTCTAATTCATGTGTATAAAAAGCCCATGTACCCTCTTGTGTAAGATGCAATTTTCCTTTGAATAAAAGAATTTTAATTCTTTCACTACCGGAAAAATCTAGTTCTTTACACTTTTCCAGGCAGATGCTGGTTGTTTTCTATGGGCCAGGTATGGTTAAAGTTGGTGGGATTCGGCTCATTGCTGGTCTAATTACTAGCAAAGAAAGTTTGTCTGGGTTGATATTAATCGTGCAAAACCATATGAAAAACCAAGCTTGGAAAGCTCTAGACCATTTCTCATTTAAGGTGGAGATATTCCAGGTAAAAATTGTACTAGTCGTGTCTGTGTTATTTCCATTGACATTGGTCCTCCAAATTCAATTTCATGCAGGAAAATCTTTTTCATTACCAAAAGCTTTGACCTCTAGATCTTTAATGTCCTAAAATTCTTTATGCCTCTGTCCACTCCATATTGTACACGTCTCATGGCCAATCCATGCTTCATGCAGTTGCATCCCTGTGATGATCGTTTTTTCTCAAATTAGTTGCTACTCTTATTTTTATAACTCTAATTTACTATAATAAAAGCAGAGAAAACATGCTTAAAATGATCTCATTAGTCTTTTTGTGCTGGAAATCATGGACTTAAGGAGTTAAGATTAGCAGCATATTGAAGGATGAAAATGCTAATTAGGGTGCTGGGTTTGGTTTACTTTTGTTCTGAATTGAGTAATTCAATTTTGGATAATTTGACATGATTTAAACATTTTCTTTTGGTTTCTGGACATCCTGTTTACTGACAAAATAGTTGACACACCTCTTTCTAGATTTCATTGCGAGAAATGACGATTGGCTGCAAGGGACATGCCTTTTCGTATAACATGAAAATTTAGTTGGCTATCTTTTCATATGTTTTGTACTAAACAAAATTAATATGTAATTATGCACTGCTAATATTATTCATGGGTGATAAGTCATTTAATATAGAAGCTTAAAAATTGTATTAACTACAGCTTGCTATATCAAACTGACCTTATATTTCTTCTGCCATTTGTATCAAGTAATTTTGTTGATGTTTATTCTATCCCTATAAGATTTAAGTTTCTTACCTTCCAGCAGTTACTCTACCAAATTGAATAAACCATTAACATAGATATAGATAATTCATCTTTAGAACGATTGGTGTAACTGTTTGAAATACCTTACCTTGTTTTATTGAGAGGAAGGGATGGGGGATTAGTATGAGAGGAAAGAAATTGTTATATTTCTCATCATCATTCCATCTTACAGTAGTATGCGTTCCTTGTTAAAACTTGGATAATTTTTTTCTAAATTTTGAAAAGACTATACATGACATAGTCTAAAGAAATTAGTTCTTTACATCCACTATGGCTTAGTTTAGAAGTGTGCATTTAGGATGCCATCTCCTTTTCTTCCTCCCCACACATTTAACTTCTTCACACCATTCTATACCCCTAATACCGCTCTTGTCTTTCTTGGTCCTCAGATTACCGACTTGTTAATATCACAAAGCATGTGCCAAAGCCCAAGCACCAGGTGCTAACTGAACTTGAGAAACAAAGGCTCTTGCAGAAGTACAGTATAGAAGAGAAGCAGGTTGGTCTTAAAAGCTTAAGAATTTTGCTATTTATTATAGTTTGGATTTCCAGGTTTGATTTCTGGTCATTGAAACTAAGAGTTTAAGACTATCGGTCAACATTGTATCAACAAATTACAATGCTTGCTATTAGTGAGCTTGGATTGAATGTTAATATTAATGTAAACATCAGAATTCAGATCGAAAAGCACTAAAAGTATGTGCATATGCCATTATATGTCTACCAAATTTCAGGATAGTAGCTGCATCTTTAATATAGTCTGCCTATATATGCGTACTTTGTTTTTGGTTGAGGTTGTTGGTATGTGATTCGAATCTTTATATTTGGTGGAAGCTCCCTAGGCTGTTAAAGAAAGATGCCATTGCAAGATATTATGGTTTTGAAAAGGGTCAAGTGGTGAAAGTTACATATGGTGGTGAAATCAGAGTCCCATGTTACTTACCGATGTGTCTGGTGATAAAAATCAACGCAGGAAGAGGTGTATGTAGGATTTATTTTCTTGTTTGTGTTTTGTCAAACCTTTCCATGGGGTGGCTAATGTTTTCTGTTGTATGAAAAGTGACCGAATGGCTCTTCTACTCGTGTACTTTGATGTCTATCAAGTCTGTTTATCTTTCGCTTTTGTTTCCTCCATCAATTAGCTCTGATAAAAGTTGCAGGAAGCCATTTCGGTAACCAAACATTTTTGTTTGTATCAGTTCTTACGATCCTCAACTTCATTTTTAAAGACTATAGCTTGCCTCCAATCAGGTGCAAGCTACAAAAGAAATTGTTGCACGAGCTAATCAAATAATAATAAGAAAAATATACATATTAACGTTCATCAAGGGATATCATGATTAGGGACGAAGCCATTTGTTGGCTGAAAAGGATTGTGACCCTTAATTTCTTTTGGTTGAATAATATATCAAGTCCTTAATTTAATTTAAGGGTAAACTATGCCAAATGTCACTCATGTTTGGGGCAGTGTTCATTTTCACCACTAATATTTAAAAAGTCACAAATCGGTCACTAATATTATTGTTTGTTACAAAATGGTCACTCGACGTTAATCGTTATTAGTAGAGGTAACGGAAATCACCGCTGGACCGTTATCTGCTGAGTTTGAGCATTGACCGCCACAACTGAACTATTTCGACCGACTCTTCTTCTTCAACCCCATCCCCTCTTCTTCCTCAACCTAACCAAACTATTTCTTTTTCTCTCTTAATATTTCCTCAGAAAATTTAACCGGTCTCCATTTTACTTTCAAGCATTATCATTTGTTGTCTTTCACGTTGACATAAATTCATGCAGGTAATTTAGAGAATAAGAAAATTCCCAACAACCTATTATGCCTTTGATTGCATCAATTTGGTTCCATTACCGATTCCTATGAAGTTGCTTGAGACTCCGATGTGAAGATGAAGACGAAGTGCATCATTTTCTTTCCTTCTTAAGCACTTACTTTGTTATTCATATTCTATAATTTGTTCTTTGCTTTTGCTTTGTATAAAAAAGAAAACCCACTTCTCCAACCCAACAAAGAGCATAGGAAACAAACCAATTCATTACCATAATAAAGATGGATTTTTATGTAGATTTTTTAGCAAATGGATAAATTTCCAACTACACTAACCTTGAACCAAGTCTATAAGCACTTTCCTATAGCCCCACACAATAAAACCCTAAACCAGAGCACCCAATGAAAAGGCTAAAAAACAACACTGTTTAGTCATTTTCTATCTATAATTTTGGCAACCAAAGAACTTCTTCCCACAATTTTCATTGGTTCAAGCCATGACCACCTTAGTTAGTTCTCCACAGTTGCAAAGCAGAGCTTCCATGGACTCTTCCATCTTTGTCTTAGCTTGGTTTTCTCTTAGGAATTGTATAAGAAATTTTAAACAAAAGAGGAAAAGAGGATTTGAATGAAGATAAATAAATTAGGGTTAGGTATTGAGTTTTATTTAAAGAGTAAGAGATGACCATTGGAGACATTTCACTCTCCACTGTGGCCCAATTTAGCATATAACAATCCTGGTGTGTTTTCCATCAAGCCTATTAATGTCGAGTGACTATTTTATAACAAGTGATAACGTTAGTGACCGATTTGTGACATTTTAAACATCAATGGTGAAAACGAATACTATCCTAAATATAAGTGACCATTAACGTAGTTTACCCTTAATTTAAATATTTGTCGAATTTTTCTCCTTTAAATTTTTAGAATAAAATATTTTATAAATTCTTAACCCTTGTAACATCCTCAATTCCGGGTTAGTGACTAAATTGTAAAACTTCAAAATTTGGTGATTAAAGTAGAATAATTGAATAGTTCAAGGAATTATATGGGAAATGTTTTGTAGGATTGAATTATAAAGAAGGAGGAATAGAATGACAAAATGGTCATTTAGTAAAGGAAATAATTAAATTTTTTGTTATGGTTATATTTAGCCCACGTGGAAGTGGAAGGAAGGCAAAGTTGGTTTCCAGAGTTCTCTTCTTCTTCTTCTTCTTCTTCTTCTTCCTTCTTTCGTGAGAGCCATTGGGAAAGGTAAGTTTCTTGTTAAGTGATTATTTATTGAATTTAAGTTTGGTTTATGATCCTTAGGTGATACTTAAGCTTAAAGAAAGCTTAAGTTGTTTTAGAACAATAAGATAGAGGGGATGGGAAGGATTAAAGATGAAGGGTTCTTAAATGAAATCTTTGTATAGAGGTAATAATTAGATTTTTAGACCAAATTTGACTTGTCATCAACCTAATTAAGAAGTATGAAGTGTTAGAATTGGAATTAGAACATGTTGAAAATTGAGTGTGATTCTTGAATTCCATGTAGAGGATAGAACTTTGAAGGTAAAGATGTAATAAATGAGTACAAATGGGTTTAAGTGAGTGTATTTGAGTTAAGGATATGAAAGGGGATGAAACATGAAGTGTTTGAAATGAAATGAGTGAATTTTCGGGCTTAAAAAGGAAAATATGGGCTATGGGTATCGGTACCTATTCATCAGGTACCGATACTTCAAGAGTAAAAACAGGGAAGATATTCAAAGGGTATCGATACTTGGGTAGGTAGTATCGGTACCATAGCATAGGGGTATCGATACCAGTTAAGGGTATCGATACCAGGAAACATCGAACCTAATTTTGGTATCGATACCTAGGAAGGGTATCAGTACCCTAGAATAGAGGTATCGATACTTTGCTTGTAGTACCGATACCCCTTAAGTTGGAAAAATTGATATTAGCTTTTTAGTTAATTTAATTTACTATGAATCATTGTTGAGTATTTCAAATTCTGATATTCATTAGATTATATTCGTGTAGATACTGAACACAAACAGTTTCGGAACAGTCACAGTGTCAGGATCGATCCAAAGAGAAAATTATAAAAGTAAATTTGGATTAAGCAAGACTAAGGTGAGTGCATATCATAGTTAGTATAGATATTGTTTTATGGAAATAAGACGTGTGATAAGTCTATTTCCTCTATTGGATTTTATAATTTCCTTTTTCATATACATGCATATGTTATGATTATAAGGAGTACTTGCATAACTCTTAAATGCTTTCATATGATATAATAAGTAAAGTGAGCATATGTATGCATGTGAAGTGAATGATATGTTTATATGAGAAGTGATAAAAGAGATATGAAAATATGAAATGTATTTATATTTAAGCCCATGTTATATAATATGAGAGCTGTAGGTATAATTGGCATGCCAAGATTCGAGGGATTATAAGTGGTCATTTGGGACATAGTGGTCATTCGGGACATAGTGGTCCTTCTGGACATAGTGGTCCTTCGGGACAAATTTTCAGTGCCCCTAGTGGGAATTTATTTGAGCTGTGGTAACAACATTTGTGCACAGCCTCAGTGTACTCACGTCCCTCGTGTTCTCAATAATGTACATGGTCATTCAAAGATAAATTAAACTGA